CAGCTACCTGCAAGGCTGAGGTGGGAGGATCACCAGAGCCTGGGAAGCTGAAGCTACAGTGAGCTGTGGTCACACCACTGCATTCCAGCCTGGGTGATAGAGCAAGACCCCATCCCCCCCCCAAAAAAAAAAAAGATATTGAGTGAGTTAATAACATCGCGGGGATCAGCTGAAGCATGTTGGGGTGGGGTGGGGCGGTGGGGCTGGTGGAGCTGTGAGGAGTTAGAAGAATACACGGGCACTTCAGAAGAAAGTTTGCCAGGACAGCCTGAGGGAATATCTGGAAAGCAATAGAGGTTTCAGAATTTTAACAACAGAATTTATTTCACAATTTTATTCATAATCAGCCTTGCTCTTAATATAAAACCAGTTAAGTTAAAAACAAAACATCTCTCTCTTTTTTTTTTGAGACAGAGCCTCACTGTTGCCCAGGCTGGAGTGCAATGGTATGATGTCGGCTCACTGCAACCTCCACCTCACAGGTTGAAGTGATTCTCCTGCCTCAGACTCCCAAATAGCTGGGATTACAGGCACCTCCCCACCACGCCCGGCTAATTTTTAATTTTAGTAGAGACGTGGCTTCACCATATTGGCCAGGCTGGTCTCAAACTCCTGACCTCAGGTGATCCACCTGCCTCAGCCTACCAAAGTGCTGGGATCACAGGCATGAGCCACCGCGCCCGGCCTAAACATCTCTTCTGTATGCCTGCCAGCTCTAGACCAAAATTGGCATCTCTTGGAGGCACGAAGGTGGGTGAAGGGACTTGTTGATGAGGGAGGGCCAGACTGTTAGAAAAGAAGCTCTTCTTTCGTGGCAGAGATTCTTCTTCCATCCCTTTTTATCGTTGATACCTCTTTTACTTAGTGGGCAGTGAAATCTCACAGTGAGTCATCCTACAGAGCCAAGTCCCAGGTCAGGAAGGAGTAGCTCACGTATTTGTGTCCTCCGACCTTCCTGGCCTTCAAGCTTAGAGCCCCGAACAGGAATCCCGAGAGGGGATCTAGGGCCTTCCAAAGTAAGAAAAGTGTGAGGACAAAGGTGGGGGAGAATGGGTAGGGGCTGGAGCCATCCTGCCTACTGGCTTTAAGGGAGGCGAAGCCGTGACATTAGCGTGCAGACCGATGGGTCAACACCAGCCTCTGTGCTCACGACTCACATCACCAGGGCTTGGGAGGCTGTGTCCCTGAGGAAGTGCCGTGCCTGGGGCAGGGTTGGAAGCAGGCTGGAAAGGGCCTTGCTCTCGTGGTCCTTTGTATAGGTTCCTATGAATCCACTTCTCTTAGTAGGTATACTGGAATTTATTTACCCAAGTTCCCTCCAAAAAGTAAACCCCTAATTGCACCACATGCACCTTGACAGCAGGCACCTGGGGTAGCCAGCACCCAAAAGGCCTCCAGTGGCTCCTCCCGCTCCTGGTGCTATGGTTTGAATGTGTTCCTGCACCATAGTTGGAAACTTAATCTACAATGCAACAGTGTGATGGAAACTTACTCTACGATGCAGCAGTGTTGAGAAGAGGGACATTTAAGAGACAATGAGGTCATGACGGCTCTGCCTCACGAATGGGTGAATGCTATTATCACAAGTGTGGGTCCCCTCTTGCCTCTCTCATGCGTCCTCTCACCAGGTGGTGCCTTTTCCTATGTTATGATGCCGCAAGAAGACGCACATCAGACTCGGCCCTTCCACCTTTGACTTCCCAGCCTCCAGAACCACGACCAAATCAACTTCTATTCTTTATAAGGTATCCACAAATCTGTGGCATTCTGTTAAAAGAGCACAGAATGGACTAAGACAGCTGATATTCAAGCCCTGTGTAGCCCCTTCCAGGAGTACCAGGGATGGTCTGTGTGACCCATAAAAAACAGAGAAGTGATAGTATGTTTCCCCTGTGATTACGTTATAAAAGACATGGCAGGCTTCATCTTGGTCAGTCTCTCTCTCAGATCACTATAGATAATGAATACAGGACCTCTTACTCATCTCGGCTCCTACAAGAGTACCTGGCATTTAGCAAATCCTTGGAGAATGCTGGTCAAATGGGAGAATGAACAAATGTGGCAATATTTAAGTAATGCAGACAGTCTAAGCTAAGAGATGAGACATTTCATATGTAACTTTAATGTGGTGTATCTTCTCAGGAAGTCTTACCAAGTGATAATGTGGCAATGGAGAACAGAATAAAATGAGCTATAGAAAGATGTTATCACTTATTGATCTGAGAAAAAAACCAAAGAAGATTGTAAACAAAAGTTTAGACAACACAAACATAAATCATAAAAAATAAATGACATGCACAAATCTCCAAAATAAGTTTTTATTATGAAAACTTTTAATACAATTCAGTGTTTTATTAAGACTAATTCAATGTTTTATTAAGACAATGTTTTATTAAGACTAACAATGTTTTATTAATACAATTCAATGTTTTATTACAAAAACTTCTAATATAATTGAATGTTTTGTTAAGACTAAAGTCAGGACCTTGCCACCTACTGAGTCATAAGAAAACACATGACGAAAGTCAGCATGGTCTCTAAGCTGACTTGAATTATTCCCTAAGAATTCTAGGGTTATGTGGACTTTCCTGTTAACATCCTGACTTAGTTCCTTTCTTTAACAGCAAGAATAAAATTCTTGGCAGGCTGCGCTACAGAATCAAGTGAACTACTAATGAAAATATGGATATGAAGTGCAGAAGCAGTAAATTACCACAAGAGGGGGCTATACATTCAAGAAAGAACAGTTGGTTAGTGAGATTTCTCTAAGATCAAAAAAAAAATTAAAAATACCTCGAGAAGTTTACTCTATGCTTTCCTCTTTACCGCCCAGCTAAACAATCCCATAAAAATGAGAGCATGACTAATGTTTTACAAAGACCCTCAGTCGAGGCCGGGCGCGGTGGCTCAAGCCTGTAATCCCAGCACTGTGGGAGGCCGAGGCGGGTGGATCACGAGGTCAAGAGATCGAGACCATCCTGGTCAACATGGTGAAACCCCGTCTCTACTAAAAATACAAAAAATTAGCTGGGCATGGTGGCGCGTGCCTGTAATCCCAGCTACTCAGGAGGCTGAGGCAGGAGAATTGCCTGAACCCAGGAGGCGGAGGTTGCGGTGAGCCGAGATCGCGCCATTGCACTCCAGCCTGGGTAACAAGAGTGAAACTCCGTCTCAAAAAAAACACAAAAAAACAAAGCCCCTCAGTCTCCTTCAAGGGAGTGGCGGATTTATGCAGGACAGGCTGTTCTGCCACCTGCAAAGCTCTCCTTTCGTCTACCCTAATGTCTCACGATTCTGGCTAAGCCCATTTCCCCGGTAAGGTGAGCGTGTGCTGGTGTGAGGCTTCAGGCACAGGTTGGTGTCATTGTTCTTGCAGGCAACGTGGTGCCGTGAAAGACCAAAGACCTCGGTGTCAGACCAGCATGAGTTCAAGCTCTGGCTATGCCGTCAGTGAGTGATTTCATTCCCGTAAGTCTTAGTTTACTCATTCATGTACAAGTTGTGAGAATTAAATGACATGTAGGTAGAGTGCTTAGCCTAGAGTCTGGCACTTGTGTGTTTAACAATTAAGGGCAATGATTACTGCCTCCTGCTTATTATTCAGTTCTATGTCCTGTAGCCACCTGATTCTTAGTCTAGTGATGATGGAACAGGAGTCATCAAGATACAAAAATATAAGCTGATTTGTTCTTTTTGTTGGTTTTACATAAAAAAAAAGTTAGACAACCTGAGATATGTTGTTCCTTTTGATGATAAAACAAAACATTTAAGGCCAGGTGCGGAGGCTCACGCCTGTAATCCCAGCAGTTTGGGAGGCCAAGGTGTGTGGATCACCTCATGTCAGGAGTTTGAGATCACCCTGGCCGACATAGTGAAACCCTGTCTTTACTAAAAATACAAAAATTAGCCGGGCATAGTGGTAGGTGTCCGTAGTCCCGGCTACTCAGGAGGCTGAGGCAGGATAATCATTTAAACCTAGGAGGTGGAGGTTGCAGTGAGCTGAGATCACACCATTGCACTCCAGCCTGGGTGACAAGAGCAAAACTCGTCGCAATGAAAAAGAAAAAGAAAAAGAAAAAAAAACAACATTTAAAGTGGAAAAGGAGTTAGGTGCTACACCAGGCATATGTACGTTGCATAAAACCGTACAATACAGATAGTAAAAGCACTGGAAGTCCATTCGATAGACAAAGCAAAGGCACTTTTTTTAAAATGGAAAAGATCAAGGGAAAAATAAAATCTTCGATGCAAACACAGGTAGTATCAGTTACAATTGACCGTTGGTTTATAATTTGAAGGCTTATTCCACTTTATGTATATTGTATTAATTCAACATATCTCAAATGTTACTTTTTTTGAGTGGTTAAAATATTCTAAAGGAAACTAGAAAATATTCTTAAACAGCTCGCTATATCTTTCATAAAATAAACAAAAAGTGCTTAGAAATTGATGTGCTGCCTGAACTTAAATCACAAATGATTCACTTGGTTCTAGTGGAAGATGGTGGTTTACAGTGTTGGAAGGACCCACACTCTACGGGAAGTTCCCAACATCCATCCTGGAAGTGATGAAAGAATTCTCTAAATTCCGTTGTTTTCATCTTCCCTGGCCAACAGTTAGATTCTCTGGTATCCAGATGATTGACACCTTAGGCGGATTTTATAGACACCCATACCCACAAGGCAGAGACCAACCACAATGGCCCCAATCACGGGAAGCACAACTGTGTAGTCAGACGGGCACTCATCCACTAAGAGAGAAAACAAATACAATACAGTGGGTAAGGCTTGGTGATGCAGTCCAGAAAGTGGGCTAGAGGGGAAAGGATATGAGCTTTGGCGTCAAAGCTTGGCTTTGAACTCCACCATTAACTGGCTTTGCGATCTTGGGCAGGTGATTTACCTTACAATTTCCTAACGTATAAAGTAAGCAAATAATCTGTAAGACGTCAGAAGATTAAATCAGATAGCCTTATTTTCTCAGTAATTAATAGTCAATCATCATCATCCTCATTTCCTGAACTAAGAAGTCACTCCAGGCATACTTCCTGCTAAGTGGAATATGCCTACATAAGAAAGACCGTTTGTGTGACCAGGTTACAGATGATCTCTTGAAAAGTGTGATTTTTATCCACTTTATAAAAAACACTTTTGCCAATTCTAAGGTTTTATTGTATCCCTTTTAGCTAATATTAGAAAACAGACCAAATTATTTATGATCTTAAAAGTGAGAGTTTATAAACTTATCGAGACTGTTTTTCTTTTTTTTTTTAATTTTAAATTTAAATTTTAATTTTTTAAAGACGAGGTTTCACCATGTTGGTAAGGCTGGTCTTGAACTCCTGACCTCAGGTGACCTGCCCGCCTTGGCCTCCAAAGAGGCTGTTTTTTCTTTAGAGCACTAGAAAGCACTTACTCAATTCATGTAAAATGTAACTGATTGAGTCAGAGACTAATAAATCTCAACTGAGGAAAGATAGGGCGGTCTTGGGGAAAAGGGGAAGTTGATGGAATACTCTGTAATGAAGAGACTGGGAGAAAAGAGCAAATAAATGAAGAACTATGTCTTAGTGATAGATAGCTAAAAAGATACACGTGTGAGGTCATTGTTTGAACTCACACTGAAATTATGTCCTGAACCAAGGATCACCATCAACCCAATTCCGTGTACCTGAGATCCAAGAAAAAGAGGATCAGAAGAGGTCAGAGAAGACAGAGTGGAAATTAGAGATTCCAGGAAAAAGAAAATTTGGACAAGAAACTGTACTTGTAGTACACTATTTGGCTTGACAGAGGGCAGTGTTTACGTAACTATAATAATGTATACCTGAATACCTTGTTGATTTAACCAAAAATAGTTATATAACCATAAATCCTTATGTGCCATAGCAGGAAGTCTACAATGGATCAATTAGGAACTATCATGATAAGCTTCTTCATTTTTTGGAGTTATGGAGATAGCAACGAGAAGAAATTGTTAAAATTAGTTAAAAGTATTTTGTATCTTGGGGCAGGGAGGCAGGGGGACAGGGAGATGTTGCTTTCCGTGATGAGACCTTTTGGAGTACATGACACTTTGTTACTTATATATATTTCTCTTTTCTTTCTGCCTGGAACTTTGAGCTCAAGTCATTTTCCTGCCCCATCCTCCTGAGTAGCTGAGACTACAGGTGTGTGCCACCATACCGGGCTAATTTTTTATTTTTTAGAGATGGGGTCTTCTATGTGGCCCAAGTTGGTTTCAAACTCCTGGGCTCAAGCAATCCTTGACCTCCCAAAGTGCTGGGATCACAGCACCTGGCCTATATTTCTTAAACAAAAAAGAACTGTGACAAGTTAATGAATTAAAATGAGTGAAAAAATACAAAAAGTGAAAACACAATGTAAAGCACACACCTATTGACCCAATCATTCCATCTCTAGGAAATCATACCAAAATATATTCACACAAGCATGCAGAGATCTATTATAGCACGTCCATTTTACGAGAGACAATCTAAATGTACGTAAAAACTAAAATCGTATTCAGACAACAGAAAATAATATGGCCATTGAGAAAAATGTGGTAGGTCGCAGTGCACTGTAACAGGGATTTCCTAAGCTCCGAGAAGCATCACATGAACCCAGACCAATGTGCCTGTCGGTCAGGTGTGAAAAGATACACAAAAAAACTGGGAAGAGGACTGGGAGGGACGTGGAGGGCAGCTTTACTATCTCTATAGTGTTGTCAAACTATTAAATTATGTAGCAGTGTTTAAACATTTCTGAAATGCAAAAGAACACACAAAGAAAAGTAGCCATCCAATCTCCACATTTCTTCTAGTTGAATCAATCACTATAAACCTCTTTGGGCATGTGCTTTCTCTGTGAATATGTGCGTGTATGCATGTGTGCAAACTCACATGCATGTTTAAAGAAAAATCACTCTGGCTGGGTACGGTGGCTCACACCTGTAATCCCAGCACTTTGGGAGGCTGAGGCAGGCGGATCACTAGGTCAGGAGATAGAGACCATCCTAGCTAACACAGTGAAACCCCATCTCTACTAAAAATA